TCATCCAGCTCTACACCTTGTTATCTCAAATGTTCTAGCCTTCAGTACCCTTCCTCACCCATGCCAACACGTACTAATGTAGACCCCCTACCCACCCTACCATAGCCCCCATTCTGACTTAGTACCAACTGATGACCTGTCTTTCATCCCCATTACCCAATGCCCACTTAGTATTACATATGCCAACCCATCAGCCCTAACAACCACCCTTTGCCCTGGCACCCTCCATGCCAACACATCCAGTATCTGCCAGGGACTAGACCTCAGTAGCCATGCTGAGGTAACACAAAACGAACTTTTGAGCATCTATTATAGACTCCAATGTATCATGAAGAAAACACTTGTCGATAAAAACTAATTCAGTACATTCAAATTCCTTAAGTACTTAATCCTTTATAAAAGCAAATATTTGTATTTATAGCCCTGTATCAAAGACAGTTAATTCCTTTTATAACCGTTTGGGGCTGTCAATCAAAATGTGAATCTGCATCCTCCGTGCTATAATAATGATAGGTTGTGGAAGCTATCAAGCAATGCTAATGATAACGCTGGACCTTATGTTAAAATTACAAGCATCTTTTTTTTCAACTGAGACACAGCCTGCTGATATTTTTCAAAAATGAAGAAGCTCAGAATTGACATAATTTAATACATGTTTTTTTTCATGTTTCACACACATTCAGGTCTACTGTCAAAGATCCCAAAAGTGTAACTGACCTCTCTTAAATGTATCTAATCTCTCTGAAGCACTCCAGTAGGTTTAGACTTTTCCTTCAAATTTGTAAGTTCTGTAAGTTGTGTTTCAGAAACACCAGATGATGAAAATCACCCCTAAATGAAGTCAGCTGCTCTTTTCAATGTGTTGCAGCCTCTGTGAGTCAGGGATGTATGAAATATGCCCTGCCTTGATTCCATTCCTTGATCCCCCTCTCGCCCAAAGTGGTGATTGCTGGACACTGAAGAACTTCCAGGGTCAAACTACGGTCTATTTTGGCTAAGGCACCTAGCCTTTCCAACCTCACAAAACGTTTGGGTGTATTGTTCAGAAATCTATTGATCTCAGCATTGAATGTATTCGTTGAACGTACCAGCCTTCAGGGATAGGGAATTCCAAAGCCTCTCAACCTCTTATAAAGAGATTTCTCCTTTTCTCGGTCTTTAGTGGCTGATTCACCAGCCAGAGAAAATAGCCTCTCGGAATCTCTCTCATCAAGCCCTCTAAGAATTCGATGCATATCAATGAGACATCCCCTTATTCTCCTAAGTTCCAGATATTCATTCTCCTAAACCTTGTCACTCAGTGCTCTTATTCCAGGAATTTTTTGTTTCATCCTTGCACTTCCCCTTTAAAGCAAGTCTAACCTCCCTCGAGTAAAGAGACCCAAACTGTCCACAGAACTCCCAGTGTGGCCTTGCCAAGGCACTGTACAATTGCATCAAGATGAAGTGTCATTGGACCTGAAGCATTAACTCTGTTTCTTTCTCCACGAATGCTGCAGACCTGCTGAGTTTCTCCAGCACTTTCAGTTTTTACACTGGATTAGCTGTGCTATCTTGTCCTTCTGCAGACTATGGCAGGATTGACAGCAAGGCAACTTCCAGGCCCCCTGCTTCCCAATGCCTGGTCAATCGATGGAGGGTGGAGTACCAGATTGCTAGGAGCCTGACCCAGTGGGCCCCAAGCTGTCTTCCTAGGCGGCAAATTCTTTCTCAAACCCTCTGGTGGGTTCAGGCCCTTGACTGGTCCCGGCAGAAAGACCACCCTCCATCCGTGCCTGCCCACCACAAATCCAACCCTGTCTGAAGATAGGATAACAAGGTGTAGAGCCGAATGAACACAGCAGGCCAAGCAGCAGCAGAGGAGCAGGAAAGCCTAGACCCTTCTTCAGAAAAGATGGACAGGGGCAATAAATCCCACTGTTAAGTCACTTCCTCACCTCACAAATGCTGCTGACAATTCCCAGCATTTCTCTTTTCTTTTTAATTTTGCATTTCGAGCACCAATAGTTTTTCACTTTGGTATTACATACAAACATACTGATTAGGGGCAGGAATGGGCCCT